TAAAGATTCAAAATTTTCAAAATATGTTGAAAACAGACAAACTAGCATTCTATAAATTTTGTATAACTCACATCCTGCAATTTTCCTGTTGCAACCCTATCGTATATTCTAATCGTGCGTCTATATAATTTATTAAAAATATTGTTAAAATTCTTATATATAAATAGTGATAGAAACAAAGTGGCCCACATATTGTCTTCTTCTGCTACATTTGATAGTCGTTTGATTAAAGCCCCGTTTGATTCCCATTTTTCTCAAAATGCATTTTTCTTTCTCTTATTTTTTTTCTCGATATTTACAAATCATGTAGTAAAGGGCGCGTTCGCATAGTGGTATACCGAGGCCAAAGGGATGCAACAAGGTTGGCTTGTGCGACTGCAATGAGATGTACCATGCAGTCGCATGGTTCAAAGTGACTCCAAAAATTTTCATTTTCGCGAAAGTTTCCTAATTGTATCAAGACTCTATTTTTTTGGCATCTTTGCAATCTTTTAGGACTTTATTCAATTTTTAACTAGATTTTAGGGTTTAGTATAAATATGTTCTTCATTCTTTCGTTGTACAACTTTTAACATTGTTGTGAAATAAAAGAGAGGCAATTTCCTTGCTTTCAAATCCTTGGAACAAAAATCGAACTTATCAAGAGTAATCTTATGGCATTCAACAATAGGTGCGAATTACGGTATACCACCATGCGACCGGTGTCCAACTCTATGCGACCTACCTCTATAGTGTGCGCTTCCGAGGGGGGGGGCACGCATGCAAGAAGGAAGTTTGTCATTCTTTATCTTAATTCTGAACCTATTTCTTGGAAGAAAATAAGTTTCTTGAACACTGGTTTTAAGAATGAGACTGCCCTTCTTAGACCCTTACTGCCCATAGTTACATACAAGTCTATAGAACATAGAAACATGTACTTGCCGAAAATACTAGGCCAACTAAAGGAACAAAAGTAGAGGGGAAATTGAACACAAAACCACCCATTCTAGTTCTATATTTGTTCGAATAAGATGCTTAGCCAATTCCATGCGTAAGACTGAGAGAAAAAAAAAATAAAAGAATCAAATCACACCATCTCTATAATAGGGGCGGTTCTACCCCAACTTTAGCCGCTTGAATCAAGTTGCTTCAATTGGTTTCAACCTTCGGTCCCAAATTGAAACTTGCCTCATTTCTCGTCAAGATTGGTGTTTCACCAATTGTTGATTGCACAATTAACCCCATTGCCTGATTGACCCACTTTGACCTCAAACGCGTCATCGGTCCTCCTTCGATAATTAACGGGTCTCGTCCTGGGCTCCTCTTTGTTGGACTCGGCTCTTAGATCACATCAATCAAAATATCTAATCTTGATTCTATTCCAATTATGGAAATCTGGATATTTTCATGAGATAATAATAATAAATGACTACACTAAAGAAGATTAAAAGTCCGAATATAAATAAAATCCAAGTGAATCAAAAGATAAAAGTATACCTGGGTTAAACCATGACTCATTGCTCAAAATCCCCGAAAAATTAATCTATTTAGCCATGTCCTTGGAGGAACCTTGTTTTAGGTTCTTATGGGCTAGGTAAGTTGTGATATTATTGCACCATCCTCCACCCCTGAACATTGAAGATAAACATTTTACATTCTCCTCAACAAAAATTAGGTAACACAAATAATTTATAGATTAATATGATATAAATACAGTTCAGTTAAAAAAAAAAAAAAAAAAAAAGCACTCAATGGCTTATGGCAAGAGGACTAACCTCAATATGAACCAACCAACTTTTAATTTCCGCCCCAGATCCTCTATCAGAAGGGTAAACTGGTGGGGTCCCATCTAAACAAACTGCATATACAAAGACAAAAAAATATATAGTTAACTATATTTTATCAGAAATATATAAAAAAGTAATACTAATTTTCTACATTGTTTACCATCTCCTTTTGCAACAGCATTGTGGAGAAAAGTCTTATCAACCAATAGAGCTTTGGTCCTCAATGAAATCAGCACGTAAAAAGGAATTTGCAATATCATTCTGTATATATAATATCAGCAATATACTTTAGAAAATACTTCTCAAATAGAATAATAAAATAGCCAATTCCTTCATGCTTCCATTTGAGGCACTTTGGCAGGCTTGCAAGAGGTTTTGAGTATTTTAAAGCTAAAATTAATTAAGGCATTCATACATTTTGAAACTATCATTTTTGTAAATGCATAAATCGTTTGGAAATGCTGCAATTGAGTCTTGGAGCAGTTGAGTCTGATTATCTATTTTTCGTTATGGTGATCTGAACCAAAAGTCATTAAAAATAAATATTAGTTTTGAAGTTGTAACAACTCTGGAATCTAATGAGGGAAAGGTTATCGAACTAAAGGTTTCTAGTAGTCAAATAATTGAATTTGGACCAATGACACAAGTAAGTTGCGTAAGTATGATGAGCAAAATCAAACTAGTAAACCAAACTAGTCTGAAGGAAAATATTTTCATTTACATAACTGATAATGTAGGAGATAGAGCTTGGTACATTTTTATGCAAATTTCTGAATGAGCCGAATTCAAAACAAAGTAACTTATAATAATATGCAATTGTCATGAGCCGGGAAAGATTCTGCCCTAATCAGCATCTTTCAAAAATTTTATAAGGTTTCTCGAGTGAAGCAACCTAGAAAGAGAAAATATTATCTTGTTACAATGCAAACATAATGCAAAACATTGAAATTTATCAAGCACAGACAAAACAGACTAATATATGATTTTCAGTTGACTTTCATGTAATTAAATAAGGTGAGCAGATACAAAACGCTTCAAGAATGAAGCAGAAACTCAATCACGAAGCAATAAAATTGAACCGGAGTGCAAAGGTCAGGGTTACAAGAAGAAGGGCATCAAACGTTATGAAACTTAAAGAATGAAACAAGAAATTTTCCCGACGAAGGATATAAGACATTGCGTGATGAAGCGAAAGAGTGGCACAGTTACACAGAGATCTTGTAGATAGTGTGAGGGAGTAATGGCAGAGAGATATTTATAGGCAATCATGGTATGGATATCAAAGGTATTCAATGTGGATAGTATTTGATTTTAAAACTCAATATAGTTTACTAGGTAACTGAACTTTAGGGGATTTCACTTTGATAGTTAAGATTTTCGGGTAAAACATGCCTAGAAGATTTTTTTTTTCCCTCAAATTGAAATATTAATTTTGACCATACATTTTATAGAACTACAACTAGTAATCACCTTTTCACCATTCATTTCTACCAACTTATAATAATTTTAACAACTAAAAAGGAAAGCTAAACAAAGGCTAAGTGGTCGTCACGGTGAGGCCAAACATTGATGAAGTTCGATTGACAGTTAACAAAGCTTGGGGTCTTCAAGTGATTCCAGTAATTAGCTACATGGATGCCTCACATGTGCTGATATAATTGAAGAACGAGATAGATTACTTGCATGTGTGGACAAGAGAGGGTCGATCCTTGGCTATGGCGACATTTCGTCTCGTCAAATGGTCGGCGGAGTTTGATCTCAATAGAGAATCTTCTATTGCTGCACAGTGGATCTTTCTGCCAAGTTTGCCGATGCATATGTATAGACCAGATTGCTTAAGCTTATTGGCGACTCGATTTGGAAGATACTTGGGGACTGATCATGCAACATTGAATCAGTCTCGGGCCACAGGGGCTAGAATGTCTATTGAAGTGGATTTGCTTGTAGAACCAGTCAGGAGTTTTCCTATTGTTACTTCATCGAAGACATTTTGGCAAGAGGTTCGGTATGAGAAGCCAGGTTTCTATTGTATCAAATGTGGTTGGCAAGGTCATCCTGAATTTGTGTGTTAGGTTGGACAGGGCCATGTGCTCCCTCAAAAAGTGATGGAGAGACAGGAATTGCGCAAGAAAGAGGGGCAGGATATAGCAAAAAATAAAGATAAGGTGGATGAAATAATTGGGCAACTGGAGATTACTTGAATTGAGAAGGGGGAATCGTCAGTGGGGGCAGGTAAATTTGTCAAGGAGAGTGAGAGTTTGTGTGATGCTATGGTGAGGTTTAAGGAGGCTGACCCCTTGGTGAATACGAGAGATAGTGGTTCAATTGGGGTAGAGAAAGCTCACATTGGAGAGAGGGAGGTTGTACTATAGGAGGCTGAATTAAGTGAGGATTTGACTATGAAAGATGATTCAACACATGTTGATATAGGTGCAGGGAAGGAAACTCCGTCCAACATTGACATTGTGAAGGACTTTTTCAAAGTGGTTGATGAAGATTTGGAGGTCGTAAATGATTGGATACCAGTAGGGAATGAAGGGTATCCTATTGATGGTGATGATGTGACTATGCAAGATGGTGGAGAAGAACAACAGCAGTGTCCTATCCATCATGAGTCTGATTGTGAAAAGGAAATAAGGGGATATGAAGGGGAGAAAAACCCAGACTATTGATCTGATTCAGAGGTCCATAAACAATATACTGAAGGACAGAAGACTATTCCCCAGGTTACTAGAGCATCACAGAGGGCGCGAGCAAGCCCTACAAAACTTGACTTATGATTGATCAGCTATTAATATGGAGCGTGCGAGGGGTGGGCATGTCAAAAGGAAGGATAGGAAAGTTAGTGAGAAAACTCAATGTGGAAATACTAGGGATTGCCGAACCTTTTCATGGGGAAGAAAAAATGAAGCTTTTGGCTTGTAAAATAAAGTTGCCAAACTTTATATCAAATGAGAAAACAGGAGGTAAATTATGGGTTTTTGGAGTGAAGATTACAAGTTTGACTAGGTTCATTTCTCGGATTAAGCTTTACATGGAGTTTTCATGAAGGGAGAATATAAGATGTTAGTGTCGTTCATTTATACGAAATGTAATGCTTTGGAAAGGAGGAAACTTTGGCAGGAGTTGGAGAATGTTAGGGTGAGTGGCCTTCCTTGGTTGGTCTTTGGCGATTTCAATATCATTAGAAATGACTTTGAGTGAGTGGGTGGCCACCCTAGACCTCTTCAGGCTATGGAAGATTTTAACGAGTGCATTGACAAGTGTGGTCTCTTGGAACTACCAGTTCTAGGTAGAAAATTGTCTTGGTGCAATGGACATGAGGGTTTGACTAGAAGTTGGGCGTGGCTGGACAGAACACTGGTAAATGAGGAGGTGTTACGTGACTTCCTGGAAGCAAGTATAAAGTACATGTCAGGAACATCTTTTGATCACCGCCCTATGACTATTAAATTACAAAAGAAGTATGCTTTGTATGGCCTGACTCCATTTCGATTCCAACGAATGTGGTGTGAGCATGAGGGTTTTTTGCCACTTGTGGAGGCAGTATAGAGATTGGGAGATAGTGGTTTGATGTTGGGTGGCTTAGAAAAATTAGCGGCTTAACTGAGGTTACTAAAAAAGCTTTGAAAGTGTGGAATAAAGAAATTTTTGGGAGGGTCTATAATGTTATTTTGGAATTAGAAGAACGTGTGGAGGCTCTCGATAGCAGGTTACAAGATGCATTTTCTAAAGAGGCAGAACAAGAATACTTGAGTTCTAAAATTGAATTGGAGGAATGGCAAAGAAGAGAGGAAATTAGATTATCCCAACTGGCAAAAAAGAAATGGTAGTTTGATGGTGATAACAATTCAAAATTTTATAATGCTGTAGTCTCGCAAAGACGAAGAAAATCAAAGTTAAATCAGATGAAGCTTACAGACGGCACTATTCGGTCGACTCCGTAGCAAATACATGCAGAAGCTGTGAAATATCTTCAGATTGTTCTTACGAGCGAGGAAAGCAAAATTGTGCCAGATTTATCTCATATCATTGAGTCTACATTTTTTGAAGAGGAAGGACAGATGCTATGTGCTTTGCCGGTTGAAGAGGAGGTTCGAACTACAACTCATTCGATACCTATGGATAGCGCACCTGGGCCTGATGGATATGGATTAGCTTTCTTTATCAAGTGCTGGGATATTATTAAAGGGGATCTAGTGGAGGCAACCAAGGAGCTTTTTGAAAGAAGGGTGCTTCCTCGATTTTATACATCATCCTATATAGTGTTGATCCCAAAGGTGGAGAATCCTAGCAGTTTTGATAAGTTTCGACCAATCAGTCTTTGCTCTGTTGTGTACAAAATATTTTCGAAGATTTTGGTGCAAAGAATGAGTGTTATACTTTCTAAGATTATTTCTCAAGAGAAAGGAGCCTTCATCCCAAGTCGAAGTATTTTCGAGAACATTACACTCACTTAATAATTAGTGAACTCTCTGAATAAAAAGGTTCGTGGTGGAAATTTGATGATTAAAGTAGATATGGCTAAAGCATATGATAGGGCGAAGTGGCATTTCTTACTTCATGTTTTATCATCCTTTGGGTTCCCGACGAGGTTTTGTAAGTTAATTGAACAGTGTATATCCACACCATGATTCTCAGTGATGATGAATGGAACCATGCAATGTTTTTTTAAATCAACACGTGGTCTTCGTCAAGGAGATCCTTTATCCCCTTATTTGTTTATTATCATGCAAGAGGTATTGACCAGACTGTTGAAGAGGGGTTTTGAGGAAGGACGGATTGGGTGCTTCTCACACCCTAGGGGTGCGACTGCGATAACTCATTTGATCTATGTTGACGATTTAATCATTTTTGCCAATGGAGGGAAAAGGTCTATCAGAGAGCTTAGGAAGGTGCTAGGTCTATATGAGAGCTGGTCTGGTTAAAAGATCAACAAGGAAAAGACTGCTATTTTTTTCCAAAAAATTGTTTAGTGACTCGGAAAGGAGTAGCACTAAGGGAGAGTAGTTTTAAGGAGGGTCAATTTACAGTTATCTACTTGGGTGTTCCAGTGGTCCAGGGTCATTTAACTGCCCGCCATCTTGAGCCCTTGGTGGAGAAAATCAGAAAGAAAATTGCAGGTTGGAAGCTTCAATTGCTGTCGCAAGGGGGCAGATTGGTCTTACTTCATCATGTTCTCACGTGTATGGCTGCACATTTGTTGTCTGTGTTAAATGCTCCAAAATTTATTTTTAAGAGACTCAATTCCATCCTTTCATCTTTCTTTTGGGGTGAGGTTAATGGAAGGACTAGGAAGAAATGGTGTTCTTGGGATAAACTTTGTAAACCGGTGGTGGAGGGGGGATCGGAGTTAGGAAATTTGAAGATGTCCAGCATGCCCTACACATGAAGTTTGCATGGAAATTACTGTCATTAGATTTCTTATGGGCAACCTTTTTTCGGGCAAAATATACGAAGCATGGATTGATTGATGTCTCCAATTTACATTGTATAGGCTCTCGATTCTGGTGCTCTATTGTGGGATGCATCCCTGATGTGATTAATAGAAGTCAATGGCGGATTAGGGAGGATTCTATCTCGTTCTGGTATGCTCATTGGTTAGATGATGGCCCTTTTGTTGGGAATCTACTTAACATGCACAGCGGAAAATTAAAACATATTTCGATTCCCACCAAGAATCGCCTTTGTGTTTAGATAGAAATTGAAATAAGATTATACATTTTCCAGATTTGCAAACTTCTTTGCTATTCTTTTCATTCCAACAATCTTGATTCGCCACCTACAGATGTCCAATTGTCCAGCCTCCAACGGTGATCCACACAGAGAACAAGATTGCAGCTACCAGGGTTTTCTCCTCTTGTGCTAGCAAGAATAATTATGAAAAAACTATATGGAATGAAAACCCTAGCCATGTATTTATATAAGTCCAAACGGCCGACCCGGTTCGGTCCGGTCCAATATTTAATTAATCCATTTAATTAAATCCGGCCCGTGAATTAATTAATCCAATTAATTAACTCAGGCCTATAAATAACCAACCAAATTAGTTAATTTATCCAAAGATTTTTAAATTAATTAATTGACAAATTTGCAATCTTCCAATTCTCTTTTGTGTGCGACCCATCAGGTTCCCGATCACGATGCCTAACGACTTGAAATATTATTTTGATCTAATCAAAATTGATAAATTAAAACACCCTTTTAATTTATCATCAATTAACACTCGTTGTCCCAGATTGGCATCTAATAATGTGTCAGGGCAATACATGTGATGGGAAATGTTACGTGGTATGACAAAACCAAACTCGTTCGTTTATCGTGAAACTATAATCCCTTTATCAATATGATCTGATCAATTACGAGATATGGAAGTGTGTCAATCTCGATTAACAATCATATCTTTCACTCCACCATTAAGTCAATATAAGTAGAAAACTCCTTTTCGACTTATGAGTATACCTTGGCCAAGGATTTCATCATCGACTTAATTGAATGAAACGTAGATCATAATCTTCTGCTATCTAAGAGTGACGAATCATTTATTGATCAATCACAACCTTCATACGATTCTTGACATACTCGAACGATGTCGTATTAGCGGCCCTTTGCAGAGCAACATCCAACACCGTCAAAGTATGACTGTCCTCATATAAGGTACCATGACGACCTCAAGTCAAAGGACCAATTCCACTATCGAACGTTAGAGATTAACCACTGACACTCAGATAGTTATCCATGTGGAATTTCTTGACGGGTCTCCAATATTTTGTTCTATAACAAAACATCTACGTTTTAATTTAAGTGTCATCACACTTTATCTTGTGAGATCAGCTACTTACTTCACAAGTAAGAAATGCCACATGTGATGGTCTATCCATAATAACAATATCCGTATCTCATTATTACTTACGACCACAGACGATTTAAGATTCAATTAGATGTAATTTGTATCTCACAATCACAATTCCTTGTGATTAACAAATTACGAAGATTTGAATCTATGGACTCTATTATTTATTTAATTGTCTATTAAGAAAATAATATATCTGCCATTAAATTGCATTATTACATATCAAAAGTATTTATGTTCAAAGTTGATTGGACCTAGGGCATAATACTTACACCTTTGTCACGGGACGTATCACATATTGATCAACCAACTCTTAGAATCAATGATATTTGCTTGGATAGTGGTTGGAATATGAATCAATTATTGCAACTTGTAGGAAAAGACAAAGCCGCTAGTGTTATGGCTAAGGTGAGTAAATGTAGAGAGGGGGATGATGTTCTTGTTTGGAAACCGAATAGTCAAGGAACATTCTTTTCCAAGAGTGCATGGGACATGATTAGAGTTCGACAGTCCCAAACCTCTTGGGGTAGATGGGTATGGCATTCTGCACTCCCAAAAAGAATGTTAGTGATAATGTGGAAGGCTTTTTCTAAAGCTTTAAGTGTTGATAGTAGAGTTCGACAAATGGGTGTAGCCTTAGCTTCTCGTTGTGATTGCTGCCTTACAGGAAATGAAGAAACACCCAACCATGTTCTTAGTACAGGTGAGGTGGCAAACGAAGTTTGGAGGAAAGTTTCAGTGGCTTTGGGTATTCGGAGGAGATCTAAACAAAACTGGTATGATAGAGTAAATTTATGATGGGCCATTGCAGGTAAAAAATCACAAGTTGGGTACTTACAAGGGTTACTTCCAACTATACTGACGTGGAGGCTATAAATTAGATATTGTAAAGCGAGAATGGAAGGTGTTCATGAAACTATGGAGCAGATTTTTCGTTCGATTAAATTCTGGCTACAACATGTGTCATCCAATTTGAAAAAAGAACGAGTTCTCTCACGGTCAGAAGAATTACTTTTTAGAAACTTTGACATTAGTCCAATGGTGAATCAGGAGAGACCTCTTCGGATTGTTAAATGGGCTAAACCGGCGGTGGGCAGAGTAAAGCTAAATGTAGATGGAAGCTATCTAGGAAACCCAGGTATGGCTGGTGGTGGTGGGGTTGTAAGGGATGAAACGGGCAGGCTGATAGTAGGTTTCTCTTCTTTCTTTGGATATGGCACTAACAATGAGGCGGAGTTGAAAGCGCTTACTGATGGACTGACCTTGTGTCAGGATTTGGGATTATATCAAGTGGATATTGACTGTGATTCGTTGTTAGTGGTTTCTTGGATTCTGAAAAGAAAATGTACGTTATGGTACTTGTGGGATTTTTGGGAAGTTCTCATAGACCTTCTCAAGAAGTTTGACTTTCACATCATGCATCATTATAAAGAAGCTAATCAGGTGGCGGATGAGCTGACGAAGTTAGGTGCTAAGGGGAAGACAGAACGGTTCTTATCATGTATGAAACTACCAAGCTTTTGTCAAGGGTTGATCCGTCTAGACAAGATGGGTGCGGTGTACATTCGTCAGAAAAGATAGGTTTTTTTTCCGTTGTTTGATTACATTGATAGGAGTTTGAGATTATTGGTTATTTTTTATTGATTAATCGTTGTTATTACGGTTTTCCTCCGCCTTAAGTGAGGGTTGGTATGAATAAATGCCTGATGGGCTTTATAAAAAAAAAAAAAGAAAGGGGCTAAGTGGCCTTTTTGTAGTCCTAATTAGATAAAATAATTTTCAATGATTCTATAACAAGAGGCGTATTTTATCAATTTCATATCAAATTTGTCAATAGAAAAACAAATGTTGTTTATTACTTAAATTTTGTAGAACTCGAAGGATCCTTTATTTTGACTAAATAGGAATATCCTATAGCTACAAGCTATGCACTGGATGAGACTAATATATAGTTACATAAAAATCGTGAAATATTGGTGGAATTCCTCTAAATAGAAAATTGAAATTCGTAAGTGCCCCAGATATATGAAATAATTAAACAATTGTTGTGCTTGTGCTCTCACATATGACACACAAGAATTCTCAAATTCTCAATTAGAATTTCTAATAGGAAACAAAATGTAAGAAAAATATTTAAATTTTGAAATTAAAAAATTTTATAAAGCAGGAACAAAACTTGACTGGTACACATTGAAGAGCACTCTAGTAGAAAACTTATAAAGCTACCAAAGTCATTTGTCTTTATGGTTCTTAAAAAGCTCCAATATGTTACCCTTTGAGAAAATAATAAAATGCACCATGTGGATAGGTAATGTAATTACACAGAGTGCACTTCCACAAATATACTATGTATATCATTATTTCTGAAGTATTAACAAATAAATGCAAGTTCTGGTGAAAAAAATATAATCAGGAAAAGAATAACAAAACATATACTGCATAAATAAAATTTCTATATGGTTGATATGTTGTGCTATGTTTTCTAATTAAAATTGCAATTCACATATTGCAATTTCCTAAACATGAACAACCAATACAAATTCTTTGTTATAAAAAATAGGAAAAATATCAATGATTAATAGCTTTTAGAGTAAGTCTAACATTTAT